ATCAGTGAGAAAATGCTCTTCTGTGAAGACTGCTCCTATGCTGGTGTTTTCCACAATGGTCCACAGGATCAGAAAATTCTGTGTGGCATGCAGTTCACGGTAATTTTTTGTTGAATACAGTGGTAAATTGTGATTGTAAGAATATAACTCTTAAACTTTGATCAGACCTATGTTACTCTGCCAGGACTCCTTCACCGTGCCCTGACTTTGTGACTTTTTTCATTGACTTTTATTGAAATTGGGCTGGGCCAGCTCAGTGCCTGCCTTGTAGGTGGGAAACCCAGCCCATCCAGGCACGGGAAGGTAACGTCAGACCCTGTGGGCCAGCTAGCTCACAAACACTGGCTAGTTCAGGAAAACCATTTTGTCTTTCTCACTTTTAAGTTTGTTTTGTTATGTTGGACTGAAGACCATATTCTGAGATTAAGCACATGGCATCTGCCCCAGGCCATGAACTCAATGCCTCACATCTCATTTTTACCAATGAAGAAACTGAGACCCAGTGATACAAAATCATTTCTGGAATGGAACAGCTAAGACCAGGATTCAAGTTAGACTTTTTGCCATCTGTTGGGTCCTCAATGTTGGGTCCCCCAATAATGGGTTCCGTGATTAAAGGAGCGAGACTGATACAAAGCGAAGGTCAAGCAAAGCTTTATTTAGCGCCAAGCATCAAGAATCAAACCGACCGGGACGCCTGGGTGGCTCAGTGAGTTGGGCCGCTGCTTTCGGCTCAGGTCATGATCCTGGGGTCCTGGGATCGAGTCCCACATCGGGCTCCTTGCTCGGCGGGGAGCCTGCCTCTCTCTCCACCTCTGCCTGCCTCTCTGCCTGCTTGTGTGCTTTCTCTCTCTCTTTCTGACAAATAAATAAATAAATAAAATCTTAAAAAGAAAAGAAAAAAAAGAATCAAACCTACCGTCAAACAGACCCCCACTGATAGGATGTCTCCACCTGGCCTGACCCACCCTTGTATTTGGGCTTTGTTACCTGGGACTGGTTTCCCGGACTTGTTTTTAAGTAAGTTCCCCTGGGGGGGTGGGGCAGAGTCAATTTAAGTTTTACAACAAAATGGCAGTTCAGCCGGGGTGGGGACCGCTCTGGCTGAATAGGCCCTTACACATCCACCACACTGCCCCCGCTGCATATTTACTGAATACCTTTAATATGCCCAGCCCTGCATAGGATCGTCCATAGAAGATCTAGAAGAAATGGTCTCTGCCCTTTAGAAGTATCATCTTTGAGCCCAAGACTAAAAAGCAAGAATGCCTCAGGGAAATTTATTCCATTACTGAGTACCCATTACACACCTATTATGAGCTGGACATTGTGATAACGGACCCAGGGTTTTCCGTGGAATCATCCCCCTTCCCACCTGTGTCTTACTGACCTTCACAGCAGCACCAGTAAGTGGTAATAGCAGAATCCCATCTTATAGCTAGGGAGACTGCTGTAAAGACATGTTAAATTATGGGGCGCCTGGGTGGGTCAGTCGTTAACCGTCTGCCTTCCGCTCAGGTCAGGATCCCAGGGTCCAGTGAACCAGCCGCGTCAAGCCCTACATTGAGCTCCTGCTCCAGAGGGAATCTGCTTCTTACTCTCTCAGTCAGAGTCTCTCTCTCTCTCTATCTCTCGGGCGCACGTGCGTCCTATCTCTCAAATGAATAAATATTTTAAAACCTTAAAAAAAAATGTTAAATCGCTTGCCTAAGGTCACACAGCTTAGAGTAGAAGCACTGGGCTTTTCCTGGGTCTGTCTGACTCCAGAGCCACAGTTCCCACTGTGTCCCCGGCCTCTCTATTCTCCTGCCATCAGGACAAAAGAGAATACGCCCACCCTTAATGGGACTACTGGCTAATATGGGAGAAGGCTTGCCTGCGTCAGTCACCACAGCTTCTGATCACAGAGGCTGCTCACTCAGACTGCATGGAGCAGGCAGTGTGGACCAAACCAGTTCGGTGTAAGAGCCTTACTTAGTACACTATGAAGCACCATAAAAATGCAGCTCCAAGGAACCAACTTTAACACAGTTTCTATAGGTCTTCCGTGCAGTAACATTCCATCCCCTTCCATCTCAGCCACCCATCTCGCACCATAACAACGTCCATGCACAATACACAACAAACATATTTTCTTTCTTTTTTAAAAAGATTTATTTATTTATTTGAGATAGAGAGACTCAGAGGGAGAGGGAGGGAGGATCCCAAGCAGACTCCACAGTGTGAGTGGAGTCCAACCCAGGACTCGATCTCACGACCCCCAGATCATGACCGAAACGAGACCAAAAGAAGTCAGATGCTTAACTGACTGGGCCACCCAGCTGTCCCAATAAGAAGCCTATTTTCAAGAAAGAAGCAAGAAGTTAACAGATCATCTGAAAGCAATGATCAGTTTTCCAGAACAAAACACCAGAATATGTGGTTTGACAAATTCATATGTCCTTACAGGAACAATGGAATAACATATTTAAAATCACAGCATATTTAAAGTTTAAAAATCTCAAAAATGAGAACTCTATGGGGACCTACGGCTGTTATAAAGCTTGGACGATATAAACACACATCATTTATTTCTCTTAGAAGTAAAAAATGGCTCCAAAGTTTTTGAGAAAATAAGCACTGGTGGGTGTTGATTTTTTTTTTCTTTCCCAGAGTGGTTGGTTGGTGAAAAGAGTCACCAAATACCGACAAGTGCCAGTGGCATATACTGTGGCAGAGAAGGAGCCAATGTATCAGGTTAGGTGTGAATTATATCCTTCTGACAAAAACAAGCACCCTCAGTATTGAATATATGGACCCCTTCAAGTCTTAGTCCCAATCTACTTTTCTAGTCTTCCCCACTCCTCCCTCTCTGCCTCAACCAGACTGCGGCCATGCCTGGGGTCAAGCATGCACTTACTTGATATTGGTGAGGGCGCCTGAGGGGCTCAGCGGGTTAAGCGGTTAAGCATCTGCTTTCAGTTCAGGTCAGGATCCCAGGTCCTGTGATCGAGCTCCATGTGGGGCTCCCTGCTCAGCAAGGAGCCTACTTGGCCCTCCTCCACCTCATTTGTGCTGTAAATAAATAAATAAGATCTGTAAGTAAATAAATAAAACTTTCAAAACAAACCAAAAAATAGGTATTTGTTGAAAAAAAGAAAGAAAGAAAGAAAGAAAGAAGAGAGGGGAAAGGAAATGGTCAATGTAATCAAGTCTTAAATGGACTTGTGCTATGTCCCTCTTCTAGGCAATCCTACTCTAAAGAAAAGATCTGCAATCTAAGATTTAAGTGTCATTGAACATGACCAGAAAAAGCTTCTAACTAATGCAGAGCAGTGGTTTTCCGCCCTGGCTGGTATCAGAATCCCTCAGAGAGCTTTTGAAATATAATAATACCGGGCCCCACCCCCAGAGCATCTGATTCCATTGAACTGGAGGGACACCCTGGTCCTGGTGCTTTACTCCCAGTGTGTGGACAGGATTGCCCATCTCTGGCCCAGGCCAGTCCCCTCAGAGTTCCAGAGAGTTGATGTCACATCTCCATGGCCAGACTCAGCGTCACTGGGTCACTCTAGCCTTTATCAGCGCTCAATCTCATGAAATTCTTCCTTTTCTCTTACCTTTCTCAGACTTCAGTTCTTCTCGTTTAACAAATAGTTATTAAGCACCTGCCATGTGCCAGGTGTCATGTGTACTCCAGTGAGCAGAACAGTCCATTTCCTCTCACCTTGACCTCAGCAGGAAGAGCCCTCAAGCCTGGATACCTTTCCCGACTGGGACCAGTCGGTCTCCACTAGTGAATTTCTCAGGACTAGGAGCCCTGCATTAGTCATCTTTGGAGCTGCAGAGCCTAGCACATTGCCTGGTATGAAGGCAGATTTGATCCAAGTTGGATGAATGATTCCTAAATCCTCACACATGGAATAAAGAAAACAGAAAAGGGTCAAGAAGATTATTTTCATTCGCCTGGACTTTCTCAATTCTACATCATAGAAATCTAGTTTACATTCTCCCAAAGAGGTTATTTACTTGCTTATAAGAGGTAAAGGCAAGTGTACAGAATCTCGGAGCTCAAATCATGTCATTAGGGCTCAATCTCTCTGGCCGCTCCCAGCTGCCTCAGCCTGTGTCATCTTGGCGTCTTTCCTAATTCAGGGCCTCTCCACGAGACAGGCAAGATGGTCCTCCAGGAGTCCCAGGTCTGTAACCTCTGATTTTAGCAATCCAGGCACGGACTCCGAGGGCCCCAGGTGCACATTCCTGAACCAAACACTCTCTGGCTGAAACATTCCCCCAGTACTCTCTGAGTATCTATCATGTGCCAGGCCCTGTGCAAACAAGCAGGCAGGTTGTCAGCGAACAATTGTATAGATGGAGGGATGGAGGGATGGAGGGAAGGTTGGTTGATGGATGGGTGAATGGTTGATGGATGGGTGAATGGTTGATAGATGGGTGGATGGTTGATAGATGGGTGGATGGGTGGATGGGTAGATGATGGGTGGTGGATGGATGTCACTAGTATCGGAGCCTGAGGCTCCCTTGTTGTCCCCTGTTCTCACCCCTCCACCCCAGGCTATCCCTTCATTTTCCTAAAAGCCTCCTAGACCATGAAGCCATTATAATGATGGTCTCTCTTGGTCCTCAGGCAACAGCTGGTACTTTCCCTCCCGCCCGCCATCCAGCATCCAGCATCCAGCATCCAGCATCCAGCTGAATCTGGAATCAATACCAGTGAACTGGGTGTGAACGGAAGGAGACTGGCTCATTATTTGCCATTGTTTATTTCTGAGTGTGTGCATTCTCACCGCTTCCCATTCTGTCTCTCCTCTTTCCTTCCCACTTCTTCCCACTGGCTCAGCCACAATACAACCAGCTCATCTGCATTTGGCCCTGGAGGACCTGCGGACTCAGGGCAGGAAGACAGAGGCGGCGGACGCGAGCGGCACGGCGGCGGTGACAGCGCACAGCCGGGCCGCGCCGCTGGACGCCCATGCCCGGCCCGAGCCGCCCAGGGATTGCTCATGAGGCCTCTGGCGATCGGGAGTAGGAAGAACCGCGGCGTATCCCTGGGGCTCCTGGCCCTCTTCCTGGCCGCAGCCCAGTGTCTGCAAAGTAAGCGCGGGGCGGCAGGGAGGCTCGGGGCGCAGCGGGGGCCGGCGGGGGTGGCGCTGGGGGCGGAGAAGTGGCTGCGGGGCGCAGCGGGGAGCGGCGGAGCTCGGCTGGGTTCCGGGAGGGGGGCGGTGCGGACGGACGGGGGCGGTGGAGCAGCCGCTGGGCTCGGGGCGCAGCGGGGGACGGCGGGGTGGCGCGGGGAGTCGCGGCGGATCTCGGGAGGGGGGTTGGCAGCCGGGAGGCTGGGGGCGCAGCGGAGGCCCGCGGGGCGGCGCGGGGGACAGCGGAGCTGGGGGGGCCGGCAGGGGGCGACCCGGAGGCTCCCAGCGCAGCGTGGCGGGGGTGCGGGGGCGGTGCGGAGCTGCCGGCTGGTCCCTCGGGTCGCGGCCCCCCGGCCACAGGCCCTAGCCCACCTCGGGGGCCCCGGGTGTTAGGGGACGTGCTGCTTCCCCCGGGGCTGGGCGCGTCCTCTAGAGTACCGACCGCAGGCGGAGGGACCCGGCCAAGTGGAGGCTCTCCCGGCCCGGCACCCAGGGCCACCCAGGGCCACCCAGGGCCCATCCGGCCCTGCCCGTCAAGGCGTTATCAGAGCCGGAAGCCGACGGGGAGATAACCGGCTCCCGGCCGGGTGGCCGTCGCCTCTGCAGTATTTTCTATTTCTTTTTCCTGGAATAACCAGACTTGCAGCTGAGGTGTCCCCGACCTCAAGGGCACGGGGCCCCGCCCCCTACGGTGAGGATCCCTCGCCCTCCCGCAAGGTTCCCCGGTTCCCAGGACATTCTGTAGGCCTCTCCCCTTACGCAGAGGAACCCACAGCCGACCCTCTTGAAGAAAGGGGGTCTGGGGGGGTTGGGTTTGGTGTTCCGGCCTGAACTCAGGCCGAAGGTGGTCCTCGCTACTGCGCACAGAGTGGCGGGCGTTGGGTGGCTCGGCCCTAGAATCTCCCTAGTTTGATGAGCCTTAATGTAACTCACAGCGGCACAAACTCCGCCGACACAAACCACAGATCCTAACACAGCTTTCTTTCTCATCTAAACATTAACATCATTGTCATTCCCGTGTTACAGATGAGTCCGCTGAGATTCAGGGTAAGGACTGCCGGGCCACGGGAGGTGGGAGCACGGACAGTAAGAGCTGGCACTAAGCACGTGTGCGTTCACCATCCCTGGGACTCGACAAGATTTTTATCCCCGAATCCACAAGGCAACCCTCTAAGTGCTACACGATCCCTGTTTCACGAGTAAGGAAACTGAGGCACGCGGAGGTTGTTGCTTGCGCAAAGTCCAAACCGGGGCAGTCTAGTACTGGACCCTTACTGTGCTCTGACCAGAGCCCCGCTTGGGAGACTCGCAGATTTCAGAAACCTAGAAGGGCTGGGATAGGACCCGGACCTCTGGCTGCCTACTGAGCTAGAAATAACCTTGTTAGTCGTTCAGGTCGGTGGGTGTGTTCGGCGTCGTAGTGGCCTTTCCATTGTTTCTCAACCCTCCAAACCTCTTCCAGCCGCCATTCTTACCCAACACCTACAGATGCTGCGGACACTCGGGGACCAGCCTTTTGCTGAGCTTTCACTCATGGCACCGTGTGCCTGGAGGAGGCAGGCCTCCGTGGGGAAACTAGTTCACAGCCATGCCCTCAGGTGGGCCAAGGAGTGCGGAATGCAGGAACCTAGTGTTCAGAAACCTAGTGTTTACACATTTTCTTTTCAGTTCTATCTGCATTGACAAGCAGTGATCTTGCTCTTTCCTCTTGACTGCTACCCCTACGTCATCACAGAAATATTCTAGTTTGGGGGCGCCTGGGTGGCTCAGTGGTTCAAGCCTCTGCCTTCCGCTCAGGTCATGATCTCAGGGTCCTGGGATCGAGTCCCGCATCGGGCTCTCTGCTCAGCAGGGAGCCTGCCTCCTCCTCCTCTCTCTCTCTGCCTGCCTCTTTGCCTACTTGTGATCTGTCAAATAAATTAAAAAAAAATCTTTAAAAAAAAAAAAAGAAATATTCTAGTTTGTACTTCACCAACCCTGTCCGGATGGACATTGAAATTTTCCGCGTTTAGCCCTCACGCAGGTGAAAGCAGCCCCCTCCAGCAGAATGGCAGGTTCATTGCTAGTGAGAGGAGCGTCAGGACAGGGAAGGCTGGGGCCACCTCCAGGATGACAGGGTAGCCCCAGGCCAAACACTTCCTTTCCACAGGGATAGTGCTCAGAAAAATGCTTGGAGGAGTAAATGAAGGATTGAGGGAGGGGTAAGGACTTTCAGATTCTTCAGAAAGTCATCCAGATTTCTCCATTTCTGATCTCCACGGGAGATCTGAGGAACTCCGTGCTGGTTTGGGAGGAGGCCCCAGTCAGGAGACGCCCCCTTTCTCCATTATCACCAGGACCTGAGGATGCCTCTATATTTCATTCCCTGTAAGACTTTTCCCTTTAACATTTGTGTATTTGTCTGAGAATAATTGGCATACAATGTTATAGTACCTTAAGGTGTACGCCATATTGATCTGATAATTCTATACATTACTCAGTGCTAATCACAGTAAGTGTAGTCATCATCTGTCACCAACAACATTATTTAAAAATGATTGACTGGGAACTCCTGGGGGGCTCCTTCGAATAAGCGTCCAACTCTTGATTTCCGCTCAGGTCATAATCTCAGGGTCATGAGATTGAGCTGCTTGGATTGCTTCCATATCTTTGCTGTTGTAAATGATGCTGCAGTAAACATAAGGGTACATATATCTTTTCAAATTAGTATCTTTGTTTTCTTTGGGTAAATATCCAGCAGTGGAATTACTGGGTCATGTGATATTTCTATTTTTAATTTTTTTGAGGAACCGCCATATTGTTTTCCACAGTGGCTACACCAATTCACATTCCCACCAATGGTGCATGAGGGTTCCCTTTTCTCCACATTCTCACCAGCACTTGTTATTTCTTGTCTTTCCGATACTAGACATTCTGACTTGTGCAAAGTGGTATCTCATGTGGTTTTGATTTGCAGTTCCCTAATGATGAGTGATGGGGAGCATCTTTCCATGTGTCTGTTGGCCATCTGAATGTCTTCTTTGGAAAAGTGGCTATTCAGATCTGTTCAGATCTGAACACATTTCAGGCTCTTTGGTTTTTTTGGTGTTGAATTGTGTAAGTTCTTTATATATTTTGAATATTAACTCCTTATTGGTTATATCATTTGCAAATATCTTCAATAGGTTGCCTTTTTGTTTTGATGGTTTCCTTTGCTGTGCAAAAGCTTTTTATTTTGGTGTAGTCCTCCACCTTTGTTTTTTGCTTTTGTTTCTATTGTCTGAGGAGACATATCTAGAAAAATGTTGTTAAGGCTAATGTCCAGGAGATTAGTACCTCTGTTTTCTCTTCTTTTTTAAAAAGATTTTATTTATTCATTTGTCAGAGAGAGAGAGGGATCACAAGAAAGGGGAGCAGCAGGCAGAGGGAGAAGCAAGGATCCCAACCTGGGACTCCATCCCAGGGCTCTGAGATCAGGACCTGAGCCGAAAGCAGATGCTTAATCGACTAAGTTACCCAGGTGTCCCCAGCCTCTATTTTCTTTGGTTTTATGGTTTCAGGTTTCACAAGTACATCTTTAATCCATTTCAGTTAATTTTTGTGTATGATTAAACAGGTGGTCCAGTTTTATTCTTTTGTGTATAGCTGTCCAGTTTTCCCAACACCATTTATTGAAAAGACTGTCTTCTTTCCATTGTACATTCTTGCCTCGTTTATTTTAAGTTAATTGACCATATAATCATGTATTTCTTTCTGGTCTCTGTGTTCTGTTCTACTGATCTATGTTTCTGTTTCTGTGCTAGTACCTTACTGTTTTGTAGTATATCTTGAAATCCGGGATTGTGATACCTTCCACTTTGTTCTCTCGAGTGGCTATTTGGGGTCTTTGTGGTTCCATACAAATTTTAGGAGCAGTTATTCTAGTTCCGTGAAAAATGCTCTTGGCATTTTGATAGGGATTGCATTGAATCTGTAGATTGCTTTGGGTAATACGGACATTCTAATGCTATGAATTCTTCCCATGATGGTATATCTTTCCATTTGTTTGTGTAGTTCTCAATTTTTTTCATCAATGTCTCATAGTTTTCAGGGTATAGGTCTTTCAGCTCCTTGGTTAAATTTATTCGTAGGTATTTTGTTCTTGTTGGTGCTGCTACAAATGGAACTGTTTTCATAGTTTCTCTTTCTGCTACTTCATTATTACTGTATAGAAATGCAACAGATTTTTGTATATTAATTTGTATTCTGCAACTTTACTGAGTTCACTTATCAGTTCAAATAGTTTTTTGGTGGAGTCTTTAGGAGTTTCTATATATAATATTATGTCATCTGCGAAGAGTGACCATTTTACTTCTTCCTTACCAGTATGGATCCCTTTAATTCTTTGTCTTGTCTGCTTGCTGTAGCTAGGATTTACAGTACGTTGAATCAGAGCAGTGAGAGTAGACATCCTTGTCTTGTTCTTGATCTTAGAGGAAACACTTTCAGTTTTTCACCATTGAGCATGATGTAAGCTGTGGATTTTATGAATGGTCTTTATTATGTTGAGGTATGTTCCCTCTAACCCCACTTTGTTGTGGTTTTCATCATGAACAGATATCACACTTTGTCTAGTGCCTTTTCTGCATCTGTTGAGATAATCATGTGATTTTTATCCTTCCTCTTGTTAATATGATGTATCACCTTGAATGACTTGCAGATATTAAACTGCTCTTGCATCCTTGGCTTAATCCCACTTGATTGTGGTGACTGACTTTTTTACCATAGGGTCGAATTCTTTTTTTTTTTTTTTTTTTAGATTTTATTTATTTATTTGACAGAGCAAGAGCACACAGGCAGGGGGAGCAGTAGAAGGAAAGGAATAAGCAGGCTCCCCACCGAGCAGGGAGCCAGACACAGGACTCCATCCCAGGTCCCCAGGACCATGACCTGAGCCAAACGAAGGCAGATGCTTAACCATCTGAGCCACCCAGGTGCCCC